AGCACTGTTCGATGGTTATGACTGATGCCGTCTCCCCATCGATCTTTCTGTACAACGCAGTCATTGTGGTAACGTTCTCCACGTCGACGCCACACTCGCAGTCGACCGTCAGCATTCCGTAAATGAAAACGGGACTCATCAGAGAACAGCACACCATGCCACTGCCGCAATCTCCAATGACGATGCCTTTTGGCCCAACGCAGACGTTCATTTCGATGTCGATCAGTGAGTATGAGTCCAACATATGGACGTCGAGCACGTAGCCCTGCTGAGCGGAGACGTCGACGTACGGTGTCAGTACTGATCAATTCCGTCGGCCTTGTACGGTTGCTGCAGTCCTGGTAGCCGGAAGTGTACGATCACGAAGATGCCGACGAACAATATGGCGATCCTGACGTGGTGTAGTTACATGACGTTGAACCGGACGTGGTCGATCTCTGGTGGTTCTTGTCTGCTGGTATCTGCTCAGTAGCCTGAGGACTGTTGAATGATGGCATTTAAACAACACTGAATATGAGATTTAACACGACTAGAGAACAGCAGGGTGGCGTCACTGGAGATTTATTAAGGTTAAACTAACTCACTTGTTTGGTGATGACGCCACCCCTACCACGTGGATCCGGGTAAACATCGGCAGTAATTCCCCAAAGTACACCGAAATTCATTTTGCCTTGTTTGTTTCCTGTATACACCAAGCATTCGGCGTGTCCGCCCTAATCATAAGCCCCTGAGGAGGACCATCAATCCCCAGACCAATCTATAAATGACAATAAATACATATGTCGAAACGACTTCTCGTGAGGAAGTCAGTCGGTCACATGTCACAAAGACTATCGACCAATTTTTGTAAGAATCCGTCGGACTCGAAACTCGAACGTGTTTAAAATGTTTGTTGTACTGAATCTTAAGGCAGACTGCGTCATGTGAGGTGGCTTCCTTTGTCTTGGCATATTGCCAGGTGTTTTGTTTGTAGGTACCGGAAGTGCAGACGACAGATACATTCGGAACATTTCCGTGTTACTTCAGTTACCTCGTATGTCATGCCAAAGTTACGACGCCGAATCGTTCTAATTGTCATACCGTGTGATCTCTTTACTGAAATGTGGCCTCTGGTGGTATGTATCATATCTGGTACTTCTTCCTAAATAAACAACTTTCCTGTCTCAAAACCAAAATCTTTCTCAAATGGAAATATTTATGTCTATTGCTTGAACTTCCGATGCGTACGTAAAATCCTTATATCTCTGCCCGTGTTCTCCAGTCAACCCAAGTCAACACAAGTCTTATTTCCAAAACACTTGAAAGGGAATCACGAAATATCGCGATTATGGATGATGAATATCGTTTGTGTTGACTACCACTGTTGTGATTGCACTTATATAGTGACGTGAATGCACGTGTGTGCGTGTGTGTGTGTGTGTGTGTGTGTCTGTGCGTGTGCGTGTGCGTGTGTGTGTCTGCGTGTGTGTGTGTGTCTGTGTGTGTGCGTGTGTGTGTGTGTGTGTGTGTGTGCGTGTGCGTGTGTGTGTGTGTGTGTGTCCGTGTACTAGTCCGGACTAATACCCTTTTCATAGTGCTAGCTTACTGAGACACCACGCCGCAGTTGATCATGACTACCCCACTCAGACACATCATACTAACTCCGAGCCGACCAGTCCTTGTTTTAGCCCTCTAATGCCGAGCGTCAGACAGGGTAACAACAAGTACCATCTTTCAGGGGCTGATGGTATGACGCGGCCGTCTTCTCCGGAAGACTACTGGACTACGGAGCTACAGTACATCACAACAACACATCTCCTGGAGAGGATGACATTGCAAGTGAATTCCTAAAGTCAAAAAGGCACTTTATAACCCCAATACTGACAACACTCTTTAATAACTCACCAATGGGGGAAAAGTATCATCTGCCCCCTCTAAAAGTCTGGAGATAAATAGACAATACAGGAAACTACAGAGGAATATCTTTGATAAATTCCATATGTTAAGTGTTTACAACAGTCATCAACTAACGACTACAGATATGGTGCGACAACAATAGTTACATTGATGAAACCCAGGCTGGAATCAGACCAGGATATTCTACTGTGGATCAAGTTTTTACTCTACAAGCTATTGCACAAAAGTATCTATCCAAACGAACTTGCAGATTTATTGTTTATTGATTTTACTAAAGCCTTTGATTACGTACATCATGATATTCTACTGAATCAACTAAATAATATTGGTATCAGAGGGAAAATATTGAACATATTTACTTATATGCAATATTGTCTGCTTGTCTTCGGACAGGAGAAAGAATGCCAGACTACTTCAGCTGCAACATGGGTACCCGTCAGGGTAGCATTTTAAGTCCTGAACTATACATCATATTCATAAATCAACTTAGAAAGCCCTAGAAAGTATTTAAAATGGTGGACCACTTAGACATAAAGAACAATCGTACTTCACAGGTGAAAAGATAAATGTTGCTAATCATTACAGATACCTTGGTCTAATGTTTACACTAACTTTTCATGGAGTAAAAGCACGGAGCTGGTTAGCATCACAAGCAAGGAAGGCAATATTATGTATATACCAGTATCAAAGCAATGTTGTTTTCTCACAATCATATGTTCAGGTTCAATGAGTGTATGGAACCATGTTTATATCACGGTACATAGCTTCATCACTACAGATTCTTACACCACATGCCTCACGTGCGCTTTGCTGTCTCCAAGATTGTTTACGGAAAGTGGCTCTCCATGTTGCATACGCGCCGCCTGGGCGAGTGAGTGAGTGAGTTGGGTTTAACGCCGCTTTTAACAGTATTCTAGTTATATCGCTTGTCAGCTAAATTTTGGAGCAAAGCCCGAAGTGATGCAGGTCTCAGACGTTTACCACTTCGGTGAAACCCTCGAGCACGGGTATGGTGCTGACAAACCTAGAAACATAATCGGGGCGAACCGGGACTCGAACCCACAATCATAGGTTTCTGGCGTGCCCAAGGGACACAACTCTGCACAGCGAATCGCGGCGCCTTAGACGACTGGGCTTAGCTCACGAGGAGTGGATTATGACCATTCAAGTCACCCATGATTATACATGGCTTAGGGAGTTGATCGTAAATATTTTGAAGACCAGACTACAGGAGAGCTGACGACGGCGGAATATATAGAGAACACAATGTAAATGCAACGTGCAAAGTAAGTCCCACGTGCAAAGTAAGTCGCGGCGCCTTAGACAACTGGGCCTTAGCTCACGAGGAGTGGATTATGACCATTCAAGTCACCCATGATTATACATGGCTTAGGGAGTTGATCGTAAAGATTTTGAAGACCAGACTACAGGAGAGCTGACGACGGCGGAATATATAGAGAACACAATGTAAATGCAACGTGCAAAGTAAGTCCCACTGCAACGGCTTGTAGATTAGTATTAAGTACAACAGGACTGTGGATAACATTCTGTCGCACAATGATTGAAGATCCTTCAGTGGCCCTATCACCTGGAGGAGAAAACGAATGATACGCATTGAACTGACGTAAGTTAAAATGGTCTGTCCGCTTTAAATATGTCTCTTGTAAGCAGAATGCTGATGGATTAAAATCTTGGACTAATAGATGTAATTCATTAAAATTAGTCTTTATCCCTCTACAATTCAACTGTACAATATTAGTTGAAGAAACTATCTTTTCGGGGGATTGACAGGAGATCTACCCCTCACCTTCCTTGAGGGCGACAAGCTATGTGCCCTTTGCTGGCTGATGTCGGATACATCCATGTCCTCAAGTGATCCATACTTATTAAAAAGTTGGATCTTATTTTCTGCCCCTTTCGAGGCTCTACCACTCTGATACCTTTTGGAAGATTCTGCTTTTGGCTTGGACTTAATTTGTTTGATACTTTTGTCTGAGTAAGATGGTTGAGCTAAGACCTTATCACAAGATGCCTTGGTCTGAATGATTCCTGTGACGTATTGAGTGTTTGTGAACTAGAGTTCTCCTGTGAAGGTCTCATCTGAACTGCTGCAGACTATAACGTTGGACCAGATGTTTTTGTCCACTGTGTAGTCGGTCTGGCAACCTGTAGAGTGACATGTTACATGTTTAGGCTTAGAGACCTGAAGGGAAGTGGAAAGAGCAGTAGATTAGGTTGGACCTGGATGTTCCTGGTCAAGAACAATCTTTTTGGCATCAAAAAAAGAAATGTTGCGTTCGTGCTTGACTCGTGAAATTTTAGACTGGAGTTTCCAAGTTGGACATTCCTTGGATGAAGAGGGGTGGTTTCCAGAGCAGTTGACACAGAGTGGAGGTTTATCACAAATGGTACTGTTTTCACATGTTCCAGCACAGCGATGACATGCAGCTGGGACATGGCATGACTTCGATCCATGGCCATACGTTTGGCAAGAGGAGCATCTGAAGGGATTTGGATTTAATGTATCAACCCTTAAGTTGCAGTAACCAGCTTTGAGTGAGTCTAGACGCATTGGAAGACAGAATGTAAATAGATACGTATTGGTTTGGGTGACTTCATTTTTTTTCTTTGCTGTGAAACGTTTGACAGCAGTAACTCCTTGGGAGTGCAACTCTGTCACAATGTCAGTTTCTGTCATGTCTGAAAGGCAACGTCCGATGTCACGGAAGATGCCTTTACTGATATTTAATGTTGTGTGAGAAGAAACCTCGACAGGAACGTTAGCTAGTGATTTGATCGATAAGAGGATTTGAGATTGAATGGGTTGTCTGCATTCAGTTAGAAGAGTACCAGATCGTAGGTTTTTTTCCACTTCCTTCACATCGCAAGCCAAACCTTCTATGCCCTTTGCTATGGCAAACGGATTGAGTTTTAGAGGACCACCATCTGGAGCAGACATTACAAGAAATCGAGACCAATACTCAGGATTTGTGAGACGTTTATGAGTATCCTCTTCCTCGGAAGAGAACGAATCATCAGATTCGTGTGAGCGGTTTTTTTAGTGGGGGTGCCATGGTAGTATTAAATGTGATTCACCCTCCTAGCTCCCCATCCACCATTGAGTGTCTACGGGGACGATGCCACACGTCTGTGGATCTCCAACAGACGGCACCAGGGATACCAGGAGGGTATCCTCAAGCAGAAGAACCAATCAAAGATCAATAAATCCACCGGATTGGCCCATGAGCCACCGCCTTCTGGCACTGGCATCTAGGGAAATTTTGAATTTATCAAATAGTTCAAAAATCAATATTCATGTATATTCAAACATTTCTGTCATAAACTCAAACAATTCAATTACAGATATAAATTTTCAAGCCGAATAGTGAGAGCAGTGAGCAAAAAGTAAGTTGCTCATGTACTATCAATAAAAGTGCCAATGCGCTTATGGCACAGCACAGGTCTAGATTTCTGCTATATCATCCGGGTACTCACGGGGAAAAAACAATAACAAAGGCAACAACCAGTCCCGGCGAATTGCTTTAGATAAGTGCCCCTTGAAATCACTGCATCCTAACCAAGTTTATTGTATGCATTACATACAGACCTTACCAAGTATATATTTTACATTTTGCGTGCATTGAGGATGGGATTGAGGGAGAATGCAAATGTTTTTTTCTTACTGTTTCTAATAACGAGAAATGACTGAACATGATGAAGAAAGCATCATCAAATTCGTGACACAGGGTAACATTCAACACGCTCATTACCTTGTGATCATGTTTCTTAACAGTTCAGAAGAACTGAAAAAATGAAAATGAATTACATGTAAATTGGAAAGTGAGAGAAGAAATGAATAGTCTCCGTTCAATTAAACAACGTTTCGTTTCGTACTTGTGTACTGTAATACCATCTCCAAACCTTCTCTTACTCTGTTATGGTATAAAATTTAAAAGTACACTGTTAATATTTTTTTCCCATCATTACCTTCTATAGTTATCGATTATTAGGTTCCTTAAAACTAAGTAGACATAAGTTATGGATAACAACTTCTTTAACTACTGTAAAAAAAACGACGTTTTGCTATAGATCCTTATACCGTTGTCAAACAAGACTAAAAACTAATTTCTCATGTAACTGATTGCAAACCGCATGTTTTTTTGTGTAACCAAGCCAGTGTCCCAACTCTCGTGTATCACAAAACACTGTAATGTTTCGCCCTCGTGATCTAAAGATATAACATTTTAGTAACCTCCCAGTGAGGCCACCGACCTGCCTACGCCTCACTGAACACAGTGTCCCCACAGGGAATTCAATAAACCACAGTGTCCACACAGGGATTTGAACAGACCACAGTGTCCCCACAGGGAATTGAACAAACCACAGTGTCCCCACAGGGAATTCAATAATCCACAGTGTCCACACAGGGAATTCAATAAACCACAGTGTCCACACAGGGAATTGAACAAACCACAGTGTCCCCACAGGGAATTCAATAAACCACAGTGTCCACACAGGGATTTGAACAAACCACAGTGTCCCCACAGGGAATTGACCAAACCACAGTGTCCACACAGGGAATTCAATAAACCACAGTGTCCCCACATGGAATTCAATGATCCACAGTGTCCCCACAGGGAATTCAATAATCAACAGTGTCCACACAGGGAATTCAATAATCCACAGTGTCCACACAGGGAATTCAATAAACCACAGTGTCCACACAGGGATTTGAACAGACCACAGTGTCCCCACAGGGAATTGAACAAACCACAGTGTCCCCACAGGGAATTCAATAATCCACAGTGTCCACACAGGGAATTCAATAAACCACAGTGTCCACACAGGGAATTGAACAAACCACAGTGTCCCCACAGGGAATTCAATAAACCACAGTGTCCACACAGGGATTTGAACAAACCACAGTGTCCCCACAGGGAATTGACCAAACCACAGTGTCCACACAGGGAATTCAATAAACCACAGTGTCCCCACATGGAATTCAATGATCCACAGTGTCCCCACAGGGACTTCAATAATCCACAGTGTCCACACAGGGAATTCAATAATCCACAGTGTCCACACAGGGAATTCAATAAACCACAGTGTCCACACAGGGAATTGAACAAACCACAGTGTCCCCACAGGGAATTCAATAAACCACAGTGTCCACACAGGGAATTCAATAATCCACAGTGTCCACACAGGGAATTCAATAAACCACAGTGTCCCCACAGGGAATTCAATAATCCACAGTGTCCACCCAGGGAATTCAATAAACCACAGTGTCCCCACATGGAATTCAATGATCCACAGTGTCCCCACAGGGAATTCAATAATCAACAGTGTCCACACAGGGAATTCAATAATCCACAGTGTCCACACAGGGAATTCAATAAACCACAGTGTCCACACAGGGAATTGAACAAACCACAGTGTCCCCACAGGGAATTCAATAAACCACAGTGTCCACACAGGGAATTCAATAATCCACAGTGTCCACACAGGGAATTGAATAAACCACAGTGTCCACACAGGGAATTCAATAATCCACAGTGTCCACACAGGGAATTCAATAAACCACAGTGTCCACACAGGGAATTGAACAAACCACAGTGTCCACACAGGGAATTCAATAATCCACAGTGTCCACACAGGGAATTCAATAAACCACAGTGTCCCCACAGGGAATTCAATAATCCACAGTGTCCACACAGGGAATTCAATAATCCACAGTGTCCACACAGGGAATTCAATAATCCACAGTGTCCACACAGGGAATTCAATAATCCACAGTGTCCACACAGGGAATTGAACAAACCACAGTGTCCACACAGGGAATTCAATAATCAACAGTGTCCACACAAGGAATTCAATAAACCACAGTGTCCACACAGGGAATTCAATAATCCACAGTGTCCACACAGGGAATTCAATAATCCACAGTGTCCACACAGGGAATTCAATAAACCACAGTGTCCACACAGGGAATTCAATAATCCACAGTGTCCACACAGGGAATTCAATAATCCACAGTGTCCACACAGGGAATTCAATAAACCACAGTGTCCCCACATGGAATTCAATAAACCACAGTGTCCACACTGGGAATTCAACAAACCACAGTGTCCCACAGGGAATTCAATAAACCACAGTGTCCACACAGGGAATTCAATAAACCACAGTGTCCCCACAGGGAATTCAATAATCCACAGTGTCCACACTGGGATAACTGATCGTAATTAATTAAGTAATTGAGGAAGGAGGGATTACCAACTAGTTCACAACACAGTCCGGTGGTTGTTGCCATCATCAAACCTGAAGGTCACAGTGGGGATTTTCACCATAACTAATTAAAACACGGTGGTCACACTGGGAAGGGCCACACTGGGAATAAACCAACATTTCTGTGCATCTGAATACCATTATCTAATACATAACAGATGTTTCCTGGACATATTACATTTCGGTTCCATTGCCTGTGCTGTCTTATACTTGATTGTAATAGCCTTTAGCAAATAAGTGGACTGTCAAAAAAAATAAAATACATGACATACAACTTTTTCACAGCTATCACAAAAATCCTTCGACCGATTAGATGACTCCTTCCGACAGGGTGGGGTGGTTGTTCAAAGCGATTCCCAGTGTGGACCCTGTGTTCAGTGAGGCGTAGGCAGGTCGGTGGGGTGTCCTCCAATTAGTTACACAGCCAGATGTTAGACACCTTAAAATAACAACTTTTCTGGTTTAGTGCACAACAAAGTGCAATGCTGTTACCTTGATTGATATTGGAATGACCCATAGCTAAACATCAAGATATAACAAAACAAAAAGACGTGTTAAGTCAGATGTACTTATTTTATAAACGTTCATCTCAGATTTGGCTGTTACCTCAGTTGTATATACGCATATATTAAATTTAGTCATGATAAGTACACAACGTCATACTCGGTTCATCCTGTTGTCAGACTAAGGTCTTTAGGCAAGTTTCATGAGGTGGCCCACAGCATCTAAAAACTGAACTGGAGTCTTCTGACCGAGGCATAGATGGTCTTTCAATCTGATGATCCGGTGGTCGATCTCGCGATACACTCGCTTGTGGCTGGGTGGTGCTGCTCCAAAGTTGACCTGGACGAGTTTGCTTCTTTCCGCATGTTCAATACGTCTGATGACCTCTGAAGGAGGGCAGAAGGGGTATCTCGTTGTCATCTTCTTGTGCTAGCTGGTCATTGTAGAGAGAGAGCATCTTGGTTGTTTCTTCACGGGCGCGTTTTCGAAGTGTGCTGAGGAACTTGAGTTTGTTGACATGTTCTGGTGGAGGGTTGTGCTCAGTCTGGTTCCGGAGGAAGTCGTCATTTGTTGTGCATCTACCAGTGCAGGTCTTGATAACACACCTCCAGTGGGTGCTGGTCTGTCTTTCTATATTTCGGTTGTAGAGATATCCATCCAGAAGAATCTGAGGTGTGCCTCTCTGTGACATAATATATTCCACTTTTCCTAACCAAGCCATTCTGATAATGCTACCATGATCTGCCAGTAATAATATTTATATCACAGTTGGTTAAACCGAGTAGACAAATTGATAGTAAAAGATTAATTGTTTTATATTAAGAATGTTATTATAACAAGCAGCTAAGTGCAAGTGTAACTTGAGTCGTAGTCTAGTTGAGAAGTTCTTCATTTTCAACAAGTTTTAAAGATCAAACACTACATATTGGATTAACATAATAACTTATAATCATGACCAGAGTACAACATGCAACTGGAGTAGCAATCTAGTAAATAACTATAACAATAAAGTAGAAAATTAGTAGAGAAATGAACCTTAAGACATGCCTAATTTGTTCACTGAGTAGGACTGTACCATTTGTTATGGGTACTGGCCTAATTAATCCCCTACTTCAGTGTCTGACAACTGGCTGTCTAACAACTGGCTGTCTAACTAATGGGAGATAGCCGTCGGTGGCCACACATCCGTTCGAATAGAGACGGGTCGCTACGAGGGTATTCCGAGCGATCAGAGATTTTGCTCCAACTGTGTCAATGAGATCGAAGATGAGATGCATGTCCTTCTATTATTCCCAGTATACGAAGAAGAACGAAGAGATATCCTAACCAAATGTCAACAAAACGCTAACTTTCAGTATCTCAATATGCAAGAGAAGTTTCGCTATGTTTTAACTGACAAGGATCTTATCTTTCACGTTGCCACAACCTGCCAAAGTATTTTATTAAAGCGTCGTTTAACTTTGTATAAATATTTGTATCCTTTTT